AGAACTTCAAGGAGAGAGGTTCGACTGCAGTGAAGAAGTCTTCAGGATGTCCCAGAGTGTCCAGCAAGCGCTAGGACCGTCTCCTCTGAGGAGTCAGCTACAGAATCGTGTCACCACGAGTGATAAAGTAGTGGCTCGAAGATCATTACATTGAAATTTTGGATCCGTGGCCAGGCAACTCCCCGAATCTCAACCCATAGAGAACCTGTGGTCAGTCCTCAAAAGGCGAGTGGACAAGCAGAAGCCCACAAATTGTGATTTTTGACTAATAAGACTAATAAGATTTTGACAGATTGTGACTAATAAGGCAAGAATGGATCGCCATCAGTCAGGAGTTGGCCCAGAAGCTAATATCCAGCATGCCAGAGCGAATTGCAGAGGTTAAGAAGAACAAGGGTCAACACTGTAAATATTGACTCGTATTTCTTTGCCAATAAAACCCTTTAAAACTTATGATATGCTTATAATTGTTTTTCAGTATACCATAGAAACATGTGGAAAAATAATCTACAAATACTGAAGCAGCAAACTTTGCAAAACACAAAATTTATGTCACTGCCAAAACTTTTGGCCATGACTGTACATGAATTACACTTACGAGTAACAGTAAAATGCGGCAAATCATTTTTTCTTACGCTTGAAACGCGCTTTACACCTTTACAAAGCTTCTCTTGTGCATGCAAATTTAATTTACGCTTACATTCTTATGTACACTTCCACAACTCTTACCCTGCGTATGCAAATCTTTTAGGCATTATTTTACCTTCATACTCTTCTGTCTTATGACCGACTTGTTTCCCCCCTAGAGAATTTAATGTGACACAGCTGAAGCTACCGGAGAACTTTTGCAGAAACCCAGATAAGAGCAATCAAGGCCCTTGGTGTTTTACAAGAGACCCGACAGTCAGGAGGGAGTCCTGCAGCATGCCAAAATGCGGTAGAGAAAATCACTAAAACATTACAGTAAAACATCCTGTGGTGCAATAACTAAAGCTTTGTGCTGGCAACCAGAAAGTTGAGCCATCACCATTGTGCCATTGTACAAGGTTGTTCAGAAGAAATTGTCACTGTAATAAGTATACTGGATGTTGTTTTGGATCTGCTAAATGACTGCTGACTTACCAAAACATGCATATTATATTATTTGATAGCAACTGAAACATATTTGTGCCCTGTGTTTATGGCACATTTTATGCTTCTGTGTAAGTACATGTTTCATTCCATCAATTTATGCTCACACTTTCCTCCTCAGGTGAGGCTGTTGTTCCCCCTCCTCGACCACCTACTGTGAAACCTGAAGAGCGTTACCTGAAGACTAAAGGCTGTCTGGATGGAAATGGGGAGACCTACACAGGGGATATGTCTGTGACTCTGGGGGGACGCACATGCCTGCAGTGGAGCGCAGCAGAAGTGCAGGCCTTAATAAAGGGGAAAGAGTTACTGCCTCAAGTTCAGCTGGTGAAGAACCACTGCAGAAACCCAGATGGAGATATGGAGGGTCCCTGGTGCTATGTAAAGGGAGCAGGTGGAAACATTACCATTGATTACTGTGACTTGGAGTTGTGCGGTGTGTGAACAGTACTGCCTTCTAGAAAAACACACATACATTAAAGGTGGGTAAGTGATTTCTGGTAGCCAATGTTGATATTTCAAATCACTAACACGACAAATCCCCGACAGAAAACTGCTGCTGCGTTCTATTTATGACGTATTGACACAAATGATTTTCAGCGGTCGCATTTATCACGTCCAGTGTAGACAGACTTTAGCTGTTGCGGCTTGGTGTGACAACTGTCCCGTCTGGTGTAGACACGCGGTGCGTTCCAAATGGGATATATCACCCTCCGAAGGGCACTTCGGAGTGAAAACAATCATGGCTGCCATATTGAAGGGTCGTTCCAAACCGAAGTGCTCAAAACTGGCCACTTCAAAGGGCCCTTCGGAATGAAGGATTTTGAAGGGTACAACTGATGGACACTTCGGGCTCCCATGATCCTTTGCGCAGATTCTTTGCATGATGACGGCGCCTCCGTGTGGGCACGTGATGATGACGCAGAAGGGCACTTCAAGAAACAGTTGTTTGGTCCCCTACACCCTTCAAACCTTCGAAGCTCTCGCTCTGAAGGGTAAACCCTTTGAAGGGATTAGGGCATAGGGATGAGCCCTTTCGAATGGAGCGCAGGGACGGTGTTACTCACCTATCGAGAAGAAACAAAGCAACCTCAGCATCCGATTGCAGGCCTTCCGCTTCTTGAGTTCACTCCAGCGCTGGAAAGCTGATCCAATATTTACACGGGTCCTACTTCTTGCCTTATCGTAAGCCTTTTTTAGTTCCGCAGACGTTTTCCTCTTTTGTTTTTTTATCCACCATCTCTATCTTTCTGTCGCTTGGCTCGGCTAATGTCCGTCCTGTGCACTGAGTGCTCACTCCTCCACATCATGAGTAGACACGCCCCTTACTGCTGATTGGCTACAAGTTCGTTTTGGTACTTGGCCCGACTTTTTGAAAAAATACATACCCCACCCTTAAAGGGATAGTTTACCCAAAATTTAAATCTTGTCATCATTTACTCACCCTCATGTTGTTACAAACCTGTATGAATTTCTTTCTTCTTTTGAACACAAAAGAAGTAACCAAACTGTTGCTGGTAGCTATTGACTTTCAAAGTATGAAAAAAAAAAAACTATGGAAATCAAAAGACTTCTTCTTTGGAACTACATGACAGAATTTTACTTTTTTTTTTTTAACTCTCCCTTTAACAACAAAATATTAATTTCTTCCCCTGAACCTTGGAGCTCCATTAAAAGTGATATCTGGACCATAGTCTTTAAATAAGGATTAAATGTCACTTTCAAATGTTAAGAAAGCCTAGGTGCATTAGCCATAAATCATAAACACACCACTGAGCCCACACTGAACATCATTCTGTCTTTGTCATTCACTCTCAGATGCTCCTTTGGACAAGTTTGTCGATGAATCAGGTGGTCGAGAGAGAACAACTCTTGAAGACAAAAGGAAAGCTTTCTTTAATCTCTGTAGTTTTGGCAATGGAGAGCAAGGTAAACGTCTGATACCTTCACCATCTCTTTTGCGGATGTTATCACTAGAAGTTTGAGTTCTTGTATAATCAACTGATAATTAAGATGATTAAACTGTCTTTCGTCAGAGTGTGGAGTGCGCCCCATGTTTGAGAAGGTCAACAAAGAAGATAAGAACGAGAAGGAGCTACTGATGTCATACACTGGAAGCAGAATAGTGGGAGGAGATGAGGCTGAAGTGGCCAGTGCTCCATGGTAAATATAGCGCAGGGGCTGTTTTTAAACATCTGTTTTCAAATATCTTGGCATGATTGATCACGTCGAATGCTAATGCTTTGTTTTTAATGTTGTGTTTGATGTTATTTGCAGGCAGGTGATGCTGTATAAGCGTAGTCCTCAGGAGCTGCTGTGTGGAGCCAGTCTGATCAGTGATGAATGGATTCTCACTGCCGCCCACTGCATTCTCTACCCACCGTGGAACAAGAACTTCACAATCAATGATATTATCGTCCGCCTTGGAAAACACTCTCGTACCAAGTGAGCCCTTTAAAAAATTCTAGAAAACTGCATATATTTCTTTTCACTAGACTTTTCACTAATACATTCTTTATGTATGCGAAGTAATTTAGAAATATCAGTTTACATCTGTTTTAAACCCTTTCCTGTTTCTCTCAGGTATGAGAGGGGCACTGAGAAGATTGTGGCTATTGATGAAATCATTGTCCACCCGAAATATAACTGGAAGGAAAACCTGAACCGAGACATTGCTCTTTTACACATGAAGAAGCCTGTTGTCTTTACAAATGAGATCCACCCTGTTTGTCTGCCCACCAAGAACATTGCAAAGAAGTAAGTAAATACAATAGTTCAATATAGATGTATTTAATCACAGTGAGATGGCTGTAGCGTCAGATATTTTCTGTGTGAACATTATTGGAAAAGAAAATCATGTAGGACAGGGACTTGTTTCTATTCATCAGTTGTTAATTGAATGGAGTTATATCTGAATGTGAGTTTGCAGTCAACTCTAAGAAATGGGTGGAGTTTCAGCAGACTAAATGATTCGAGAAGTCAGATGAATCATGGATGAATCATTCACAATAAGATTAATTACATGCATTTAGAAAATAGATTTTCATTTCAAGGCGATTTCGAAACTTACCTAACCTCTTGAAGGGGTCATTTTATACAATTGTTTACCTTTATTTATGGTGAAACTTATTAAGAACACATTTTCTTGGGGAACAACGATGTATGGAAAATGCATTTTAGCATAACTTTAGAACAAACTGACAGTATACATATAGCTGTAATTGACAGATTTTCTCTCTGAAGTTTAATGTTTGCAGGTTACAAGGGCCGTGTGACTGGCTGGGGGAACCTCAGGGAATCGTGGTCCTCAAACCCAACCAATCTTCCATCAGTGCTGCAACAGATTCACTTGCCCATTGTGGATCAGAGCATCTGTCGCAATTCCACCTCGGTCATCATCACCGATAACATGTTCTGTGCCGGTAATATACTTCATATTTTCATGGTCTTTAGACCCTAGACTATTCAGTTGCTGAGAGCTTGTGTGAGATGCTTTTGCACTCAGGTGTCACAACAAGGTCATCTTTTGTTTTGTAGGCTACCAGCCAGATGATACAAAAAGAGGTGATGCTTGTGAAGGAGACAGTGGCGGACCTTTTGTGATGAAGGTATAATAATGTTTATGCTTTTCTCTCCTCAAACATGTTTGACTTTTCAGTGACCTATAAAGCTCTGATTGTTGTATTCACACTACTATATATAAATATCTTGTTCTTTTAAAACCCATTACTGCCCACAGAGTCCTACAGATAAACGCTGGTATCAGATTGGCATTGTGTTGTGGGGTGAGGGCTGTGACCGCGATGGCAAATATGGATTCTACACACACTTATTCCGTATGCGTCGCTGGATGAAGAAAGTCATTGACAAAACAGGCTCAGCAGATGAAGAGTGATCTTCCAAGCTGCCACACAATAAATTAACACTTTGGTAAAATGTGATCAAACCTGCAAATGGATAAATAAACCGGAATTATTTGTTTGTTGATACCAGTGTGTGAGTATGGAGTTTCTTTCTGTGTATTGAGAGTGAGAATGGGCAGGCTTCTTGTTTAGAATGAAATAGATGTAATTCTGGTTGAATTCTGAAATTAAATATCAGGTTTTTGCCATACAGAACTAGAGAAGGAACAGTGATGAGACCAGTTTACCAGTTTCGAGGGTGATTACAACACACCAGACAACACCAAAGTTGCTCTTACTTTTTTTTCATAGTTGTCAGAACTACTGTATTTTTTTGTTGAGATGCTTTGAAAGGAAACATTTTCAGGACAATTTAAAGGTCATAAAGTTTCCTATTATTAAATTCACATAAATGGGAAGGCAGACAGAATAAATTATTATTAAGATGTTTAATATTTTTTTTTCATCTTCCAAGAGAATTTGTGAAGCCGTGCAATGATCACTAAATGCTCTCATCAATGAATTTCTGTAGGCTGTTTCACATCAAAATGTCTTGCAATAAAACAAATATAAAGCAGTTTCAGTGCAACCGCCTCATTTGAACAGACTTAATATAATACCCACAAATCAAACTCATTTAAACTAAAGGTTATAATGTAATTGTAATTCAATAGTGGTGTTGCTCAGATTCAGTGGTCCCTAAATGAAGGGGTGTTGACACGGAGGGAGACTTCTGACATTTATGGCTCTTGACTGAACACACAAAGAGCAGAACACACAAATGTGTACGTTTTAGATCATTTATTTTTATGTGGTGCATTTTATATGTTGTTCAACCAAACGTTACGATAACAGCATATTTTCGGGCGTGGTCATACGTTCTCCTGCATCCGGGCTGTTTACACCGAACTACACGGATCGCAAACCGGAAGTGCTGCGTGAAATTCGCAAGATTGGCAGAGTTGGCAAGACTTCAATAGGGAGCGCTGAAAATTAGGTAAATTCATTTCTCCATATTTGATTCATAACATCTGTAGTTTCCTTCTTTGCTCAGCATTTTGCTCTCTGATCCGCATAAGCCTCTATTCACACGGCAGGGCAACACTTGCTAGAATTTCCGTTCTGTTAAGTCAAGATAAAACAGGTTTGCAGCTAACGTAGTTAGCTTAGCTGACTGTCGACTGATCATAACGAGCAAATATTTGCGGCATCTGGATTTTTGCTTTAACGCCATCACTGAGACCTACACTATTGCGTCTTATTTAAATCACATGCCTGCATGTTGACTCTGTTTTTGCTGGGTTAACGCGCGGTTGCGTGCCCAGATGTTGCGTTTCCCTAGAAACGCTGGGGAATCCGTCACTATCTGTCCTGAGCAGGAGACTAGACGTGTAAGTACATAAGACAATGAAAAAGAGAGTAAACGTTTGCCATTTTACTAACATGCTCTAAAAGCGATTATGCTGTCTGACAGAAGATTACTGACCTGCCACAGATAAATCGCACATAGACTACCATATGTATGGGCAGGAATCAAACTCTGAACACTGATCCCAATGTCGATTGTTTTTCCTGTAGTATTGTTTATGAAATAAGTATAGCAAAATCTTGGCTGAACCATGGTTGTTTAAAGTACATGGAGTTACTCGTACCAGTTTAACAAAAATGGGGTTTTGGCATAGGCGGAGGGTGAACCAACTCCAGGGTAAGGCTAAAAGCAGCCAAATGTATTAAACATCATAAACCCCTGTCATGTAGGCAAAAAAAAAGTTTAATGGGACTGAATTTGTATTTAACGTGATTACAATTTAATAAAAACGTTAGAAATTGATAATTATATAATGTTTCCTTTCCATGGTTATTCAAACATTATATATTTATATAGCTTATAAAAATAAAAAAAAATAAAAATTATATAGCTAGTGACATTATCACTAACATTGATCTATTGCGAGTTTAATTAAGCACTCTCAAAAAAACAAAACTATGGTTATAATCACTGAAGCTGTATACACTGTGAAATGAATCTTTCTTACATTGTACGTACATCTGCGCTTTGTTGTTTATGATGAGAGAATTCGCAAGAGTCCGGAATTCGGTCAGCGAACGCCGCGCACTCAACAAAACTGATGAGTTTGAACGATGACTCATCTGAACGCCTCTGATTGGCCATTGCATTCCTAAGCTCAACAGAATTGTGTGTGATTGGTTAAAATGCACAACACTGTAAAAACGCCTAAAATGAAATACGGTGCAACATGAGCAGATTTTAATTTAATGCCGAAATCGACACTGCCTATTCATATTCAATTTGTTAGCAACAGACGTAATAGATTTAATTGATTTGTGCAGGGGCATTTTTGCCCAATTTAGTGCCATTTTTGCCCCAAGTCCCCATGGCCAGGGGAATGCTTAGCCTTACACACGCGCCGCCTATGGGTTTTGGGTTGTTGACATGTACTGCAGTGTAACACGGTATACTTAATCTAAAACCATTCGTTTTTTATTTTTATTGTGCATGCAGTTTTTATGACCTCATATTAATTGAGAGACTTACATAGAGTATATAAAGCATTTGTTTCACTGCAGGGCCATGTAGAATGATCCTTCATATCCATCCTACCCTCACAATTTATTAAGTACCATAATACATTTCTACAAATTACCTAATCGCAAATTACCTTATCACAGTTAGTCTACCAGTTTGCTAATGTGCTCATCTGAGGCGTGCAGAGATCATTTGTTATGATTTTCTCTCCCTTGAATCCATGTGTGGATGGCAACACTGCAGAGAGATAAGCAGAATCACATGACACCATTGAGCTCTAGACCACCACACACTCAGTTTTACTTTCATCTGCTTAATTCTGCAGATTATTCTATGGCATCTCACTGTGTTTGTCAGCTGAGCACATCTGAATCATCTGGCTCTACTTGAAACAGAACTTATAATTATCACATTTGCATTTTTTTAGCAGACGTTTAGTAACTTTTGAATGAGGGATGTTACAGCTGGTATGAGCGATGTCTGGCACTCAGAATTACTGACCAGCCAAAGATAAACTACCATGTGTATGGAGCGAAATCAAGCTATGAGCACAGATCAATATTTTTTCCTGTAGTATTGTTCATAAGATTGTAAATGATAGTGAAATATTGATTGTACCTTGTTTGTTAATAATTGTAAACTCATTAGTACATGAGAAAAGCACAAGCGATTTTATTAAGGCGATTATTGCTTTTTATTGTGGTCTTTATAGTTTAGAAAGTGTATAGTTTATTTTGGAGGTGTTGGGGTTTCTTTAGGTCTCTTGTTTTTAAGCTCTCTTTAGGGTCTTTGTTTCTGTCTGAAGTGCTGGTTGATTCACTGAGCGCAGCCTTGAAACACAACCGTGAATGAGGCGCATTGTTTTTGCTGATGATCTTTTGAACTGGGTAATGAATTAAATGGCACTGTAGAGTGGAAGAGGAATGATTTTGGATGGGTAATGTTTGGTTAGAACCAAAAGATGTGTCATCAAGTATTGACATCAATTAGGGCTGCACGATAAATTGCATGCGATATTTAATGCGCATCTTGTCAGAAATCCGGTTCTGTAATCAGCGGTAAATCTCCATCACCTGCGGGCTTTCACATTGAGCAGCATTAACTACACAGAGCCGTTGTTCACTGACGAGCTGCGCAAAAAATCGCGCGAATATGAACGTGGTTTTGC